AAGAAGAAGGGACCCAGGTGCTGGTGGTGAGATGTATAAGCTTGGTGAGCTCAGAGCATAGAATAGGAAACTTTATTCAGAAAGGATGTATGTGTTGCCAAATCAGGGGCATGGTGGGCCTAGGGGATGAGCCATGGTAGAAGGAGACTGGCCTGAAGCTCAGACTGCATTCCCATGAGTCAGAGGACAAAGCGTACGGAAGGGAAGGTGGTTTCTGTACTCTGTGGCAGACTCTGAATTTCTCCTGCAAGTCGATGCAGAGGAGTGATGGCCTTGAGTAAGAGAAGTCCATAGTTCTTTCATGTTTTGTCCAGTCTTTCATATTTCTTCTGCTGTAGGAATAAGAATTGGACATTTGGAAATTCTTATTTTATACAAGCATGCATTTGGTTGTGTGAACTATCAATCGCCTGCAAATCTGGCATACACGTACACACTTTGTGCGCTGTGGGAAGCCACCAGTGTTGTGCAGTGGAGAGGAGAGGCTGAGCGCTGGGCTGGCTTTGCACAGCTGGAGACCATGTCACTGAAGGGGACACAAACAGAGAGCCGGTGTCCCTGAGGCCCCAGGGCACCAAGGGGGTGCTGAAAATCCCACCTGGGCACTCTCAGTCCTCACTGGTCTGAACATTTCTGAGGGTCTGAGACAGAATTTACTGCTGAACTTTCCTAATGTTTGGTTATTGCATTCAGATCCTCAAAGAGGAGCTGAACTCCAGAGATATCCTTGTTTTTTACCTAAATGCGTGTGCTTGCATGTGCGTGCGTGACGATGTGTATTTATATGTCATTTTCTTTCAAGCATTTGTCTGCTCCTGAACAGCGACTGCAGAGACTCCCACCAGCAGCAGCATTAACTTGGCACTGACCTTCTAATAAGCAAAGGTGCGACCTGTTCTTGGGTCCAGCCTTAGTGTGAGAAAGGGAGATGAAAAGAGGTTTAATTTGGCCCATTGTATGAATGGGTTTGCTATCACAAAAAGCCTAAATGCTCTTAGGGCTGTGATGTCTCTGTTGACATAAAGGTCTTAATATAGGTTATGATTAACATCAAAAAAATGTTAAATAATGCTATTTTTTCCCCAAACAGCTGATCATTTTCAAAATTATTTTGCTCATGATATTGCTGCTTTTTCAGCAGTGTATACAGTGTACATTACAGAGGAAAATGAAGGTCAAAATCTTAGGTGTTAGTGTAATTAATGAACTATGGGCCTAAAGAATGTGGTTTAATCCTAACGTCTATGGCACTGAGAGGCTGAACTCACTTCAGCTGCACTGTGAGACTTACAGAAGTTGTGAGTGTAAAAGCTAACACTCTCTTAGGGTGGGTTATTTGGGGATTCACAGAGCCCAAACTTTAAATTTGCACATATAAATGCATAGTTTTTAAAGCCAGAAGGAGCCACCAAGATCTAGTCTGACCTCCTTTATAATTCAGTTGTAGAATTTCACCTCGTAATTCCCTGCCTGAACCAAATAACATGAGTATTCATCCAGAAGTGTTTGTGCTTTAATTCAGTAAGGGAATAGGTATGACACCAGGCTGTTTATCCTGCAATCTCAACACAGCCACAGAGCCCAAATAATGCATACCAAGCATCAAATCCTCTCAAACTTGTGGTGATAGTAATAAAAATTGCTAAATGCCTTTGAATAACAAATAAATCTGATTAAACCACTCTCTGCTTATGGCTATCCTGTGAGCAAGAAAGAACATAAATCGTTAGATACATGTTTTATAGAATATTATTCACTTTTCTGAGTAACTCTCTCCCTTCTTGGGTCTTTGATATTCTGATAGCAATGTCCTTTGCAAATAATGTAAAATGATGTATATTTTAGCAGCTACTGGCTAGGTTCTCAAGAGGAAACATTCTCTAATAGCCCAGTGCTCCTGAGGGGCTTTTACAAGCAATAAAATCCAAAGTATACAAGCCACCTTTTTGTCAAATCTTGCTTACACAAACAGCTTCAGAGACCTTTTTTTGCATTGCAAGACAAGTCCAGATGATGTGCAACTAGATTCCTGCATCCTACAGACATTTAAAGACTCAACTGTCTACGTGGTAGAGCAAATATTTGGAGTCTGAAGTGTGGCACAAAACCCACCTACCTACTGACCTCTTCAGTGAGGGCAGGAGAGGGGAAAGGGCCCTCACACAGTAATCTCCTTGTCTACTGAACTCCTTTCCTGCCTGTACTTTCTATGGCCAGAGGCGAAGGCGGCAGAAAACAGCCCTGTATATGCTGAAACAAAGATCAGGTGAAGAAATCTTTGATTTCTCCCCTTTACAGGTGACGATAATAAGGATAAAAATTTATCATAGATCATATTTAATGTGGTAAACTGAAATTTGGGATAAAGTTTATTGAAGATACCATATTGAAACCTCTTCTCACCACTCTTTGCCAAGCTCTAAATAAAATTTGTAGAAGCTAAAAATCTCCAGCAATGTTTTCACTGGTGGCCAGCCCTGATGGTACCGCTTATTTTCTGCCATGCAAGAGATATTTTTTTTTTTTTATGTTTCCTGTGTTATTGGTGCTTTGTTTTCACTAGCACAGTGATTCCCAAACAAAAACTTATGAACCTAACTGAAGTTATCCCACAAATATATGTAATTAGGAGCCTGATGGAAACAAAATTGCAGAACCAGGTCTCACAATGGGACCGTGAGAGAGAAAGGAAGGGAAAGGCATGACCTCCAAGTGCAGCCAGGGTTGTGAACATCTGTAGATAGCCTTGGGCACTCTCTCCAGAAGCTTTCAAACGCTTCACTGCAGTATGTGCTATGTCGATGCCCCCAGCACTCTCTGGACTCCATTTGGCTTTCTTGGTTTCCCTTGTGAAGGGGTAATTTTTTTTTTTTTTACATTCAACTCCATGCTCTCTACTTTATTAACTTCTAATTTTTCTCCTCAAAATCCGTGTTTGGGCCCCTCTTGTCTGGTTTCCATCACTTCTAGTTACTGGAGCTGCCTGCACCAGACCCACAAATAACCTCTTCCTCTCCTATGATCATTTCCCAACTCCATCCTTCCCCTTTATTAGGAATGACCATTCCCTCTTCCTTGTAACCTTCATTGATTTCTGAATCTCTGTGCTTTCTTGACCTTTTCTCTTCATCTGCTAATTCAGCAGTTGTTCTATTCATTTTCTCTGTACCAAAGCTCTTAACCTGACCAAGAAGTCCACAGTGCTTGGAAGTGTCCAAACTTCTGAAGCATTTGTAGTGCCACAACACTACCACAATTCCTACAAACATTGCTTTTTCCACCCCTTTTCTCAGCCTCTTTTTTAACTGTCCCTTACTGGTGAGAGTAAACATTTGCTGTTCAAAGCAGGGAATAATGATTGCTGATTTTTTTTTTCTAGGAAAATCCCATGCCCATTTGATTTACCATGCAAATAAATAATAAAAATTGCAGTAATTAATATGTTATTGCAATAATAATATCAGAAATGAGAGCTGCAAGACTTTTTTTATCCTGGAAAAACTTCCTGGTAGATTCTTTTTTTCTTCACAGACTTTAATGCTGTTTAGATATGTGGCAACAAGGAAAGGATTCACTGAAAGTGCTTAGCAGATGTGCTTGGAGAAAACCCAACTTCTGAGACTGTGCTTTACAGTCCACATCCCCATCAATAGCAAATGTAATACTGTTTGCAAAGCTGATATTTAATTCATTGGTTAATGACATTCAAAACCACAGTGCGCGCAATCTTTCCATTCTTAAATGTAAATTTGTTTAGTTTTTTGAGTCCATATGAGTCTGAATTTGGAAAACCCAACAGCATCTAAAAACAGTGCAGGAGATCCACTGAAAACAGTTTGGCTTTTTTGTTATCTCTTTATGAATAAATGAAAACATTATAGCAGAAGTTGCTCTTTAACCTTCATACAGAGACAACAGTTGTGACGATTACACTTAGCAGAGGGTAGATTTTGTGAGTCTGTTAGTATTTCCATTTGCTAGTTCAGTCATACATTTTTCTGCCAAAATGGCAGGCTTTGCTAAGCTACAGACTAATTTAACTTCAGTAGGTCATCTGGTTAAAGCTAAGAGCAAAATTTATGCATTTGCATCAAACAAAAGCTTTATGCTTTTTTGAAAGATTATGTTTATGTTGGCCTTTAATAATTGGGCCAAATTCTTGACTGGTGTAATTTAACTGAGTTTTTATGCATGATATTCCAGCAGAGCATTTGATCATAACGTTTACATTTTTATAACTATAATGTATTTTACATTTAGAGCTGCACCTATAGCTAATGCACATAATAGATATATAATTATGAACCTAAGTATACATGCTTGTATAGATATATACTAATAGCATAATAAGTATGCATCTAAATGCACACAGTTTGTTTTCAGTTTGTGATAGACATCATTTGCTGTTAGTTAATGCCCTAAATTGAGAATGGTGAATGTGTTTACAGTTTATGTGCCACCATGGAATAATTATGAAATATTTATTACATGGCAATTATTCTACATAAATATATGTTGTATTTACAGGACAGAGCAGGAAGCCACAGAGTGGGCTGTGACATGAAAGTTCTGCAATGACATCAAAAATAGTAGAACTATTCCTAGCAGCTTTTAGGGCACTTTATCCAATAGGGTGCAGACGAGCTAAGTTTATCTGCATGGTGGTTGGTTTGCAAGTTTTGGGGTAAATGATCCAATAAGAGCAGAGTGGATGTATTTTATTTGCACACTGAAATTCAATTGGCAAAAATGCTGCAAAAACGGTTTGTATTTTTGTCACACTGTAAAAAGCAACTAACGACCCATGGAGAATTTGGGAAAATGTCCTATTTACATTCCATCCTATTTATATGGTCTGTTTTTGCATACAAAGGAGGTCTTTGTTTCCACAGGATTTGTCAACACCTGCTAGTTATTCCCCACCAGCAACCATAGTCCTCTGTGGCATCAAACTTCATTTCCACATGCAAAGAGTTTTGCGATGTATATGCATCAGGTACCTGGCAATTTTGTCTGTACAGGACATGGTGATGAGCTGCTCTCCCAGCAACACGCCGTCCCACGTCTGAGCTGCGTTATGACACCGGACGGGTATGGTTCCTTCTCCAGACTCAATCTTTGTTCGGAGGTGCCCACGGTATTTTCTCACTATGTGCTTGCTGCTGTTCACTGGGCAAAATAAACACAAGAATGGCAATAATTATATGTTTTTAGAAAGAACCTGAAAGGATGCCATAGTTTGCATTTGCAGAACCTCCTGTGGAGGTCCTTTAAATTGGATGCAAAATTAGATGAGATTACAGCCCAAGAAAGAAGCACAGTGGAGAAAAGTATGTGCTCCCTAGCATGGTTGTATTTTCATATCAATCAAACCTTTCACACAGCACAAGCTGGCCTCGTGTTCGTGTTCTCATTCCTTTACATATTTAAAAAGAACAGAGGTGCTCTGTTTTTGAAAGAAGCAGTACAGTTTCTTGTTTTTAACCCACGCTTAAAGGATTGAGCTGTGTCAGGGGTATCTTTGGAAAACCTTGATTCAATGAGTGTCATCAAAGACTCACCTGCGTGACGCAGTCCAGTCTAATACTCTAGTGTGATATTCAGAGGCATTTTCTAATAATTTCAGAACTGACTTTTTGGTTTGTTATCACAAAATTTCACTGAAAGTTCTCAGAAGCTGAAGTTTTATACTCTAGATGAAAAGCAAATCAAAACTTGCTAGTTATTCATTGCTTGCTTAAATTGCCTCTGTAGTCTCCCTGAAATGAGGTACCCTCCTGCCTTATGTCATACCGATAGCTTTTATGCAATTGCTATCCGTCACTTCAGTGATATTGTATATGTAAGTGGAAGGCAGCTGCCTTTGGGGTGGCGCAGGGCAAGCAGCTAATTCACTTGTCCTGTGCTGCAATGAACTTAACTGAGACCTGCAGCTATGCGGTAAGTGCAGAAGATAATGACATTTCTAAAGTACTTCAGCTTCATTTTTGTGAAAAGAGAAAAGCTGAAGTTCATCATCAAAATCACTCTTGCCCTCTTTATACAGTCACTTTACCCTGGGTATTTTGGTTGTAAAAGAACAGCTAAGGAACAGCAAGGAAACCCTCTGGGTCTGCTCGCTGTCTTACCCTCAGAGGGTTTCACGGAGGATGCCTTCTCTTGGAGCAGACCTTACACAGTTTCCCTCTAGCTCAAAGGAACATGATGGCCTTTGCTTTCAAGGAAGAGGAGCGTTGCTTCGACAGACGTGAGGCCTTTGCCCATATTTCCAACTGCCCCGTGTATTTTTCGATGGCCTGCCCCTCAGCTGGACCTGATGCTTCACATCACCTTCTGCTTGTGAAGGTGATGCTCCTCAGCAGGCTACGGGGCTGCCTGGGCTCCTGGCACTGGTAACAGCGGGGTATCACAGGTTGTGGAGCTGATCGAACCTCTGGCCGTGAGCAGCTGGCTCCGTGCACGCTCCCCAGCCACCCGCTCTCTCCCTCTGTCATTTTTTACCCTCTTTGCTTTGTATGACTGTTTTCTGCGCTGCGAGCTCTGGTGGAAGCAATTGATTGACTTTGGCTGCTGCCAATGGATGGTTTACAAAAAGGGAATGGGAAAATAAATTGCTTCAGCCCATTGGGATTAGCGGAGGTAGCGAACACGTGTAGAACAACAGAGTCAGCTGTGACCTGCCAGCAGGCGGGCGGCTGAGCCCCCACCGATCATTCCTTCGTTTCCTTCCTGCTTTTTTAACATTTAAGATGGGGATGTGTGTGCCAGCAGCAGGCTGGACCAGGCATCAGTTGGATTGACTGGCCGTGGTTGAAACCAATTCCCACCCAAAACCAGGCTCCATCATATCCGAAATGTTTACAAATACCGTAGGTTTGTTTGTGCTGCTTCGGGAACTGAGTTTGGGGGAGAGCGGTTATTGCACTGCCATCCCCATCGGCAGCGGTGTCCCAGTGGGGGCTGTGGGGGGTCCTTGTGCCCAGCTGTCACAGAGCACCTTACAAACTGAGACGCTGCAGTAACCACCAGACTTGGAGTATTGTGGCTTCTCAAACTTCAGTTCTGAGGGAAACTGGGAAAAGCCAATGGACGAATAAAAAATTCAATAAGCAAAAACGCCAAAGTCTCAGAAACGTCTCAGAACCCTCTCCCCTCACCTTGCTAAGCTGTGCCAACACTGTAGGAAAACCATTTTCATGGCCATGTGTGCTGATCCCATGTACACCCCTTTTGTTTGGGATGCCTCCTGCAGCATTGTTCAGAGGATGCTCTTTGGATGAGATTAGCTATCTGGGAACTGGTCCATATTTTTCTTGGGACTCTGCAGGGAAGCTAATTTTTTAAAAAACTTCAAGCAGTGGTGAGCAGCATTTTTTATTATTAAACAACAGAGTCGTGGGGAAGGTACCATGAAATTTGGACAACAAAAGGAGAAAGTGATCACTTCTGCTTAGCAAACACATCTCACTGAGCAACAGCAAGAAATGTACAGCAAAACCACTTTGCCTTAGTCTGCACACACCGAGAACTGATGGCACGGCAGAGCTAGACCTCTGCCAGGGAAGCAGTGAAGAGTGACTCGAGAGACTATTGCTGTTTCTACTGGTAGAAAGTTTGACTTTAAGCAAATCAGTTCTGTTTTCCTAAGCTTTCCCGCAGGTATAATGAAGATAATGATGCTTCCTTCTTCTGCAAATTCATTTAAAGGTACTGCTCAAAAACTATTTATGAAAAACAGATGCTATCCTTTCAATAAAGATCTACTACAGGAGTCCACCTGCTGGAAATCCCCCAGGACAAAATGAATTTTTACTGTTTCTTCATCTTTATTTTTTTAGAAGATTATTTTTTGTTGCTACACCTTTCTCTCTCCATTTTCCATCTCTCCCTACATTCCTCTCACTTTCTCAGCTCCCACTCTGACCCTCCCCTGTAGGTGCACTGGTCTCCTAGATTGCTGGCTTTTTCAGGCAGTTCACCGTGTTGATACGCCTACATTTTGCATACATGCGAAGGGACATGTAACTGCTAGGGAATTTTAGTCACTGAATGACAAGATAAGAAGCCCCTCATTTATGTGACTTTGATTTCAGTATGTAAATATTACCTAGTGAGGGGCAAAGCATCCCACAATGTGCTGACAGAGATAAGGAGCCAGTTCAGGGGAAGAAAAAGCAGCAGCCCTGCAAACAACTGTTGAGCACTTGGGCAATTTAAGCATAGGCCAACAGTTATGGGGAGAGAGGGATCTGAAATAGATCTGTGAGTTTGGGGGGTCTTCTTATTTGATTTTTTTTATTTATTTGATCTTCTCAGTTTCCCTCAGGACCAAAGGAAGCACAAAGGCCAAAGTACTCCATGTCTGGTTGTTATTGTAGCATCTCAGCCCTGGCCTGCAAGTACCAGAAACTGAATAATAAAGTTTTTAAAAGCATCCAGGAAGTGTGTGCAAGTGCACAGATCATCTCAGTTTCCAAATGCTCATATTAAGTCGGCCCACATGTCACACTTTGCTCCCCGTAATGCGGGCTCTACCCAGGGTGCAGCCAAGCAGACGGCATTAGCTGATAGGATTCAGGCAGCTGTGGCCAGTGTACGCTTACCCTGGGATACACTTCCACAGCACTGATAAGGGGTTTTAGCTGCTCAACTGCTATTAAATTCAACGGCTAGGGTGTGACTAAAACCCTGTGCTGTACTGCCTGTCTCAGGCTGCTCACATTACTTGGATAGCCGCACACATGCTCCAAAAGATGATCTGTAGCATTTATATAAAATACTAATAACCCCAAGCTCTGAATACTTTCAGATTGACAATGATTAAATAAATCCGGATCTGCAATTGGAACACACTTAGTGGTTTTTTTAGCATGTCATTAAGTAGCGCAGGAAGATATAAATATTGAACAAAGAAAAAGATGAGGCTCCATGTGTTTTGCACTGAAGCTGCAGACAGACTCTAGCATATAAGCTGCTTGCCAGCAGTAAAAAATGCAGTCCACTTGCTGGCACAGCCTGCTATGGATCATTTTAAAGCAGTCTCAGAAATATATTTATTTATGCAACTTAAAGTCACAAACTACAGCCTACTGCTCTTCTGCTGTTCAGTATGATCAAAGCATCAGTGACTATGAGCATTTCTGATCTTTGCTGTGCTGGTTCTCCAACTGCTTAATCTCAACTAATTGCAGGGGAGAAGGCGTCTGAGGATGCCTCTTCAACCAGAACAAAATGTCAATTCAAACCGGAATTGGAAAGGACAAATTTAAAAATCATTTGGAGTGGATTTAAGATGTGTGCTACGCTCAGATGTGGAAATTACTCCTGAGAGTTCCTAAGATAAAAAGGTGCTGGATTATTAATTATTGGATTATAAATTTACACAGGTGCTTTTCATTTAAAATCAGTGAAACCCACTGATTTCAAGCCTTGCCCCTCATTTGCATATTTTCTCCAGGACCAGTTCTGGCTCAAATGGTAATGAAAAAAGCCACTCCATATTTATTATTTAGTTGAAGAGTGAAGGGGAAATGGACGGTGATTAAACAGAATCACACGAGTAAGGCTCTGTCTGAAATTTTGCATGACTGCCTCAGAGATTCATTTTCTATTTCCCTGCTTCAGTGGAGGCTGTTCTCTCCTCATGAAGGAAGAAATAAAACAGCCTATCTTGCATTTTTTCAGTGCTGGACCCTCCATTCATCAGCATGGTTATAAAGCTTCCTTAGAGCAGTTTGAAACAAAGGGGTGGACAGACAAGTGTTAACATCTGACTGCCTTTTTATTTTGATGGTTAGTAGAGATGCATTTTCCTCAAGCAGATGCTGAATAAATGTACAATATTACTATTTCTGAATGTGTTGAAGTGAGCATCATGGCACACTGAATGCTTTGGATGTGGTCTCTTTTGCTGGGTAGGGTGGCTGGCCAGATAAATCTCTGCTGCGCTCTGCTTTAGTGACCAGCAGAGAGCAAGGCTAAAATGCAGTGGGCCAGCTTTGAAAGCAAGAAACTTTAGGGATATTCTGAAACAAGTCTGGATTTAGGAAAAAAGAATAGGTCTCCTCACAACTTGCAAAGCTGAATTGTGGCTTCTGAGGGTAGGATTCATCACACCGAGGGCTAGGCAGGTAAAAGGAGTAGTCTTGTCTGAGGGTCTATGGAGCTGC